GCACCTTTCCTTGCCCCCGGCTGCCCCAGCGTTGCCCCCTGCGGTCGCGTTTGCAGTCCAGGTGCTGTTCACAAGCGTTGGCTGGTTTGTGACAGACCACGCGTGTGTGGCAGCTTTCTGGTTAGAACGGCAGCTGCGTACGAACGCTGGGAGTGTTTTCAGACATCCTTGGGAGAGCCGCAGAAGGCAGAGGAGAAACCTGGTAAACTTTCCTTCTCCTTAAGGGGAAGAGGAACTTAAGACCTTCCCCAAACACTAGATCTGCTCATGCCAGGGCAAAGCTGGGCGATAACCAAAGCAGAAACTGCAGTTCAGCCCCATTTTTTTTGTCCTTGAACTTCCCTCAGTCAGTGGGTTTGAGGGGTAGAAGCTGCCGTGTCCAGGTTAGAGCTTCCATCCCAGGAGAGATGCGTTTGGCTGGGAAGCAGTGGGGTTGATTCCTGTGCTGGTCAGCCGTGGAGAAATGCTGTCCCTTCTGCTGCCGGTGACCTCCGCGGGGGCTTTGGGAATTTAGCTCTCTTAGATGTATGTGGCCAGCATAAAGTGGGAGCTACTGGCACAGGCAAATGGTCTCAAGTAATATCTGCTGGGAACTGATCTGCAGCGTCGGTGTCTGTAGTGATGTTTGGGACAAGGAGGACAGCAGCTCTGCCTCTGTACAGCTCTGCTTTGGCGCCTGCCGCTGTGGGTGATGTAGTTTGCTTTTCAGTGCCTTGTCCCTTCAGTGGGACACGTCTGCATTTAAGATCAGCCCCATGCCAGAGGAGAGATCAGCTTTTCACTGGCTGAACTGTTGCATGAGATGGTTTAGCAAAGAACCAAAACACTAAAGCCAAGACATTTCAGCTAATTTTCCCTCATTTCCCTGGCAGCGGAGGTGAGGCTGGCTGTACCCGACCCCTCCGCTGAGTTGGGGGGCTGGGACGGGGACCGGCTGCCCCTGAGGGTGGGCTGGACCCAGGCGGGGATACGGCTGGAAGGAGGGTTTACGCTTGTAGGTAGAGCGGGGCGACGCGGGAGCGCGTCGTGTCTGTAGGGCTGAGAGGAGAGAGAAGCTCGGGGAGAAACGTGGTGGAAAAGGGCAGCGCTGGGAGGTGACACGAGGGGCACTCTGCTCTTTGGGGGGGAGCTGGGTCGCTGTAGAAGTGTCCCCGAGTTCAGCCTCATCTCCCCACAGCCGAGCAGCGTCTGTGGGGTCTGTCTCCCTTGGAGGGCTCTTGTGTCCATTTCTGTGTCTTCCACCAGGAAGGGGTTCCCATGTCAGCACCGTGGGGGCTCAGAGCCCCCCGTTTCACTTTCTCTGCATTTTCCGCCCAGGTGCCCCCCCCCTTGTTTTTTTTTTCTTTCTTTTTGTCTCAAGGAGCACTGGGTGTTGCTCTGGGGAAGGGGGGAGCCTGCTCGTGACCAGCATGCCAGATCC